ACCCATGAGGCGGCGCACAATTGGCCCAGCGTCGTCCAGGGTAGGGGAGGGAATGGCCGGCAGGGATGTAGCTCAGTTGGTAGAGCATGGCGTTTGCAACGCCAGGGTTGTGGGTTCGATTCCCACGGGGGGCCAGTATGAAAAAAATATATATATAATGTATGCACTCACTAACTGTAAGTCGCTCTGGATAAGAGCGTCTGCTAAATGACTAAAATGTAATGTAAATGTAATGTAAATGTGAACGACACAACTCCAGGATCTCAGTTATAGCCTTTCTCAGACACTTGAAGTGAGTTGCTCACTACATTTCCAAAGCAGTTTGTGTCAGATTCTCAAGGCGCTGTAGGAAATCTGCTGTATTTGTGTTACATTTCGAAGCCACAGACAACTCTAAAATGTCAGTAATAGCCTTTCTCAGACCCTTGACGTTTCCTGTAGAGTCTGGTAGTGCTTTTCAAAGACAGTTTGTGTCAGTTTCTCGAAGCACAGTTGGAGATGCATGAGCACTGCAGACAGAAAGAATCACAGCCCAGGCCAGTGACTCACAAGCAATCTGGAGAGAACATGCCCTGTGGCAAAGCTGCGATGGATAGCACGGCACAGCGCCGGCACGGAGAGGCCCATCGAGAGAGGGCCAGACCTCAGGCGATCTGGTGGAGAGAGAAACATTTCTCTGGCTCTGTGTTGTTTCATCTCTTCCTCAGAGATTTCTGGGAGATACAGCTCTCCCTCAAGGAGGTGTTTAAAGGCACAGTAGAGTTCTAAAACACAACTACTTCACGGGTGCTCCTGTGACTGGAAACAGGCCAAAGGACCACCTGTTACTACTGGCCCCAGAGAGAAAACAAATAGTGCCTGGGCGATTGAAGGGTTTTATCTATCCTGTCTTTGCCATCCATGTATTTGGGCAAAGAAGAGGACAGGAATTTAAGATAATTTATTTGAGAATTGTATTTTTGGAGTATGAAGAACACATAATTGTTCTTTAATTTAGAGTGGAATGTTCTTTTTACTGTCTTTAGGCAAAGAAGAAGAGAGGATTTTAATAGTCTCACAATACATTTTATTACAGATTGGTATCGATCAGTATAATTACCTTGGAGCGTCAATAAATTAGTCAATTAATGGACATTTCTTTTTACTGGATATTTAGGATTTTAGAAGCAGATACGACACAGTTTGTTGAAACTAAAATTATCTATTTGCCACACCACTTACTGGTGATATGTTGAGTATTCCATCAAGATACAGAATGCTGTTGAGAATCACTGCAGTGTCATTGGCCATCACAAAAGTGGCCTGTGTACAGTAGTTTATTCAAGCGGTTGAGTAGAAGTTGCTGTTCATTGTGACCGAAATGTCTCTCCTCACCCCATCTCATACATATCCATACACTTTACATTTACATTTTAGTCATCTATCAGACACTCTTATCCAGAGCAATTAATCAAGACTCTCATCCTTGCTGAACTCCACTGGCTACCGGTCAACTGTAGGATTGTATTTAAAATCATCCTCATAGTGTTTTATAGCCTCAAATGTATTGAGTCCCACCTACATCAGCGACCTCATTTCTATCAATGAGCCACCTCGCACTCTCGGCTCCAGCAACTCCCTACTGCTTAAATTCCCCAAGACACGTCTCCGTACTATGGGGGACCGAGCCTTCTGCTCCCTTGCCCTTCGCCTATGGAATGCTCTCCCTGACCATCTGAGAGCTGCTCCATTAATCAGAACTTTTAAAACTGGCCTTAAAACACATTTCTACAGACTGTCATTCCTATAATCCTAATTTGGAAAGTCCTTTTAGGACTTATTATTGCTACTTCCTGCCTTGATTCAAAATGTACTTTGTTTATTGTCAGGAAGAGTGGGGTGTGCCCTACTACACAAGCGGCAATGAGTAAACACACAACAAAAGAGTTAAAGTTTTAGATGCTTTTACTTTAGCTTTTAGTCTTACAGCTTTTACTTGCTAAGCTTTTTAGTGTCTCTTGAGTTTTAGTCCACAAAGCCATTAAGGCAAGAGGGTGGTTAAAGATGGCGGCCACCTATATCTCGTCGGCTGCGGTGTGGCTTCACTGGCAGAGTGTGTAATTCTCCTTCTGAGGAGTCTTTAGTAGGAGCGCGAAACCTAGTGTAAATGGGAGAGTAGGCGCGCTGTGGCTGTGTCTTCCTAACTGCTCCACTTGAGCGAGGTCCAGCTCTTGTGCCAGTCATTTGATTAGGGAATGCCTTGCAGGTGTGCTGATTAGTAATCCTGCACAGGTGTGTTGGGTGAGAAGAGCTGTGGCGTGTCTTCGGCTGGCCTGGAGCCAAAGGGAGTGCAGCTTTCCACAGGCTGAACTGAGTGCCGTTGTCCACTTTGCTGCAACCAGTGCCACTGTCCATGGTGCTGAAGTGAGCACACCTGTCTCCTGTGCTGAGGTGGGTGGGTGGCTCTGTTCATGGTGCTGAACTGGGCGCCCTTCAGCCACACCTATGCCCATGTCTCTCACGGTGCCACATTTACTGTATATTGTATTTTATTGTAATTATTTATATTTTTGCCTATGTAGAGCTTTGAGATAACACTGTAATGAAAAGCGCTATACAAATTAAATGTATTATTATTAGTATTATTAAGATACTCTTTTCCTTCTATTTAAGATGGGGCACCCTGTTCTTTAGAAACAACCAGTGGCAAACCAAACACAGATTTCTCCCATGGGAAACCAAGCAGGCTAAATGAGAGGAATAGGTGAATGTTAATGTACCATATAATCTTTGCCTTCACTTGGGGTGGTTCACGCTGTGACAGGTGGGAAACAGAGAGAAGGCCAACTGTAATCATTGGTCCAAGGCACTGACCGTGCAAACAACTAATAACCATCCACTGACCGTGACGAACTCCGATCCCTCAATTTGTATAATTTTTGTCATGTGTTTTTTATTTACAGCTAAAATGTGTGTTGTATTGTGGGATTGGTAGTCATTTCACACACAACAAGATGGAAATTGGAGTGTTACAAACGGCAATTCTTTGTAGTTGTAGCTGTATAACTAAGAGGTGATTGTATTGTAAAACATGTTCAGTACCACATGCACTCAATCCATCCCTAAATGCTCTAGCTACAATATAATCTGAAAAAATTAAAGCAGCATTGGAAAAACTACACTGCAACTGTAACACAATGGATAGCAGATGTTTTCTGACAGAAAATGGTTTGGTTATGTTTATATCAATTCATCTAGATGAGTAATCATGTTCAAATATGTGTAAATGGCATCTTTATGTAACAGGGACCAACGGTGTGGGTGTAGTGTTGCACCATTAGATGATAATGATCAGTCTGTTGTGACTAAACTGGGTAATGGGTTTGGGGTTGCCTCTGCTAAGCTGCCTTGAAGGTATAGGGGTCAGTCATATGACATACCAGCAGGAGGACGTCAAGAACAACTAAATATGCCCAATGTTGTTGAACCAGGAATGTGGCAGGAATGTTCATATTGGGAAGAGCCAATACTGGCAGTCTTGGCAGATTAGAAATCAATTTTTGTAAGCAGGAAGTCACCCCGCTCTTTATGATGATGTCATATTGCTGAGTCTAGGCCTACCTGCCTATGTGTCTGTATCTGTGTGTGTGTGAGTGTGTGTGTATGTCTGTGTGTACTGTGTATGCAGTGTCGTTATGCAGTGCTCCTGAAATAGAAGCAGTTTGCTATAAGATCTTGATCCCCATCTACTGTAAATAGAACTACATCACCTTTGGCTATGAATGAGTCTTGCCAAGTTCTCACCAGTGTTTTCATTCCAAGTACATTTATCATCTCACCCCAGTGTTTATCATAGTTACATGACTCCTCTACATGATACATCATTGCCCTATGGCTGAATAGAACCAATAGCATGTGTGACATCCACTACAATGACATCCACTACACAACCAGACCCCAGAATAATTTCAGCTCTCGTCAACGAGCATCAACATCACAGTGAAATCATATGTTGCCTAAAATCCTGAGTCAGAATTATTTATGAACCCAAGGCATTTTATATATCCATTAGACAGAGCTTTTAAGTGCATTACAGGGGAAATCAACCACAATCAGCAACTGTTTCAAGCATCTAAAAATCAACCAATAAATGTCATAGGGTTTATTTTGTTGAGGCTTTTGCTAATTAGTGACATATGAGAAAAGACAGTAAATCAATGATTTATTAATGTTTTTTGTTTTTCATATCACCTGGCACATGTTGACTCCACATATGTTATGTGTTAACTGTACATTATGGTCACATAGTAATCCTTTAAATTGAAAAATATTTTATCCTGTTTAAAAGTCAAAGGATTTAGGCCTACTACATCTGTGAAATTAACAGACCACTTATTTGAATGAACTTATAAGTGAAATTGCATGATACATAAAGTCAATAAAAACCCTAACTAGCAACAAAGATGCTTTGCCTCTTCCTCTCTGCTAGCAAGTACATTCCCCTCTATGAACAGTCAATAGAAAACTAGCTAGCTAGCTACCATTATTACATTAACCAACATTATCTTCATTCTTAATCAAGCTATTGTGAATGACTGACTGACATCAAAAATAATTGTGGGTAGTCATTAAACAAATCTGCCAAGAGTACCAATGCTACTAAAAACAAGTTAGCACAGTTAATAAAGTTACTAAAGAGAAATGTCCACCAAGTTGTGTGGACATAGGATGAGCAGCTAGCTAGCTATCTTCCCAGCTAATTTTTATTTTCTACCAGCCAGCAAAGTCAAAGCAGACGGTATTTTGTAGCTAACTACAAAGCTACACTACCAAAGTTATTGTCGGTAATTCCGTTAAATGAAAAGATGTAACGTTAGGAAAAAGATTATGAGATAATGATACATAGAATTTTGTGTTTTTCCTTTCCTCTACTTCTAAAGGTAAACGTGTGCCAGTGAGAGGTCGACCACAGGGATGTGACCAGCGATGGAGGTAGAGGGGTTGTTCCTGTACAGGTAAAGATGACTCTGCTGGCAGGAGATGGCTCAGACTACGACTACAGCGCTCTGAGCTGTGCCTCCGATGCCTCCCTCCTCCTCCCTCAACCCCCGCCCCTGTCAGAGCAGGAGGCCCTCAAGGGGGCTTTCTACAAACGGGCCCAGTTCCTTCCTGAGGACTCGGACCACCTCCTCACCAACACCACTTCGCCCTCCGCTACCCATAAACTTCACGCCATCATCAACGTGGGCGGGCTGCGTTATCAACTACCCTGGACCACCTTGGAGGACTTCCCTCTGTCCCGACTGGGCCAGCTGCGCCTCTGCAGCAGCTTCGACGAGATCATGCGCGTCTGCGATGATTACGATGTTGCTCGAAACGAGTTCTTCTTTGACCGTTCGCCCTGTGCCTTCCGCACCATCCTGACCTTCCTGCGGGCTGGGAAGCTGCGGTCCCTCAGGGAGATGTGTGCCCTCTCCTTCAGGGAGGAGCTGCTCTACTGGGGGGTCCCTGAAGAGAACCTGGAGTGGTGCTGCCGTCGCCGCCTCATCCAGCGGGTGGATGAGTGTGACGAGTTGGAGCGGGCCGCCCAGGAGGACGAGGAGGAGGAGCTGATGATGGACACGGACAGCAGGCACCGTAGGGGTTCCACTGCCCTGGCTACGGAAACCCGGATGGGACATTGTATGAACAAGCTGAGGGACATGGTGGAGAGGCCCCACTCTGGCCTGCCAGGGAAGATCTTTGCCTGTCTGTCGGTGCTGTTTGTCACCATCACGGCTGTCAACCTGTCCATCAGTACCTTGCCGGCCATGAGAGAGGAGGAGGAGCAAGTAGGTGGACATTGTGAGGACTAGGAGGCCTCAGTGCAGCACAACAGGTCATACACTCCGTACACTTCCCAGACCCTTGATAACAAAACCTGCACTTTGAAATTGTAAATAATCTTTCTTGAATATCAGAGCTGTAATGTAAAGCCCAAAGAGCATTTGTAAAGTTAAAGTAATAATGGATTACATGCATGGGCTATAATTTGCAAAGAAAACACATCTGAAACATGTGGAAAAGTATTGTTCTAATTTAATATACATGCTCAATTTCATGGCTGACTTCAATCACTGCAGTAATTCACTTTTTCTGGCCTTGGTAGCCAGAAAACATTTGAGTGACACACACACACCACTGCACTTCTCTGGTTTCATTGTGAATTCTAGGAGAGTACTTCCAGGTGGAGCAAAATCAATTAATTTGTTTTTAGCCACAGTTATCTGGCTGTAACCATCATGGAACATATTTTTTAACCCAGAAGTTAATTCATTACCCCAGAGGTGATGGACTTTAGATGGTGCTCCAAAGGCTGGTACCTGAGCAGTGCATTCCAAATTTGCATCCCTGATAGATTCTATTGTTAGACAGTTAGAATCAATTGAAGAGGAGTATTTTGCTTTCTAAACAGTGTTCTGTCTGAGAACAAGCTTATTGTACATTCTGTGTAGACATGATACACTGGTATAAGTAATTTCCTACTCTGTGGGAGTGTTTCATAATAATACTGCATGCTTTCTTTTGAAATAGAATCAACTCAAAAGCCACTTTATATCATACCGTATGTGCTTTGAATCGGTTAAACAATTTAATATCTACAATTGAAAAAACATTTCTAAAAAACAACCTTCCAAATAATACATAACCTTCGGGCTTGGAGAGCATTATTTCGTGTTAACTAAATTCAAGAATTTGTTTGTGTTTTTGTTTCAGTACATAGTTTTAAAAAATATTTTATGTAGCTGAATAAAGCAACACGTACAATCACAACACATCACTCAGAACCGTCTGAGCAGAGAACAGAGAACATAACAAATATTGGGAATAAGCTGTGAATAGAAAATATTTGGGCTGTTATAAATGGAGTCTGTGTTTAATACCCTGCAGTCGACAGTTTGACATTTGAGGAATAGAATTTGGGATACCACAATAACATAACTTAGATTTTAGGCAGCACCATAGCTCCCTCTAGTGTCAAACTACTCTTGCAACCACAAAAAGTCAAGAACAAGTTCAGAACATAAGCCTATACACCATGTATATGCTAGATGTTTATATACAGGTGCTAACCAGTATCTCTTGTGTCTTTTAGGGCAAGTGTTCCCAGATGTGCTACAACATCTTCATTGTGGAGACAGTGTGTGTGGGCTGGTTCTCCCTAGAGTTCACCCTGCGCTTCATCCAGGACAGAGACAAACTAGCCTTCCTGAGACGCCCTCTGAACCTCATAGACGTGGTGGCAATCCTGCCATACTACATCACCCTGGTAGTGGACAGCTACCAGGGGGAGAAGAAGCTGGGCTCGGGCAGCAGTTACCTGGATAAGGTGGGTCTGGTGCTCCGGATCCTCCGCGCCCTGAGGATCCTATATGTGATGCGGCTGGCCCGCCACTCCTTGGGCCTGCAGACTCTGGGGCTGACAGCGCGGCGCTGCACACGGGAGTTTGGGTTGCTCCTCCTCTTCCTCTGTGTGGCCATTGCCCTCTTCTCCCCGCTGCTCTACCTCATCGAGAACGAGATGGCCGCCACCCACGAGTTCAGCAGTATCCCCGCCACCTACTGGTGGGCTGTCATTACCATGACAACGGTGGGCTACGGGGACATGGTTCCGAGGAGCATCCCGGGTCAGGTGGTGGCGCTAAGCAGTATCCTGAGCGGGATTCTTCTCATGGCATTCCCAGTCACCTCCATCTTTCATACATTCTCCCGGTCGTACGTGGAACTGAAGCAGGAGCAGCAGAGGCTACTGCAAAGACGAACACACTTCCTTTTACGCAGGAGGATGGGTGGGCTGGGAAGTAACATGTCGCTGGAGAGTGACTACCCCAACTGTGGCTCCTCTGAGACCAGGGACCAGGACGACTGAGGAGGAGGAGGAGGAGGAGGAGGAGGAGGAGGAGGAGGAGGAGGAGGAGGAGGAGGAGGGGGGAGGGGGAGGGAGAATTAAAGGAAACAAAGCACAAAGAGAATAAAACAAAAGAGGGGTTAGGACTTGGCAACTTCATCTGTGAACAGGGACCCAAATGACTAAGGATGATGAGAGAAAAAAAATCAAGGACACAAAGCATAGAGGTTAAGAGGACCTGGCAATGCTCTGCTAAAAATGTTTTAGTTTATTATTTTTCTCTGGACGATGTCATCTCTGTCTGGCATTATGATGTAATAGAGGCCGGAAATGTTCCCAGAAACCAGAAGTTCTGCACAATAACAGAAAGAAGATTATAATGAATCATATTAGATCATTGACATTTTGCTGTATAACAGAACATGATATTCCATAAATGCATATATCAAAAATAACATACAGTATAAGCTATATGTAATATGTGATCGATTTCTTATTCATTTTTGTGGCTCAATTGTGAAGAGTGAGTCCAGTCCATAACCATATTTCTTAAGAGTTAGAGGTGTATTGGTGCTCAGCACTGTTTGGGGTTGTATATGCAATTTTTTGTATGAAACATTGAAGAAACATGTATATGTCCATAGTTATTGTGTGCTCTGTCTCTTACAAATGTATTTCTAAATAATGCTGTTGGTTGTTAAGTATTTATAACTTACACTCTCTTTAAAGTTTAACTGAACTGAAGCTGATCTGCCTCGTGATTGCATGGACATATTTGTAATTTCACTGACTTTGTTGCTATTTCCCAACCAATTATATGTTTATTGGGTCCTTCTAATCACCCCAAACAACCCAAAACAACCCAAAAGTACCAACAAGTACCCAAAAGTACCCAATAGTACCCAAAAGAACCCAGAAGTACCCAAAAGAATCCCAAACAACCCCAAACAGGTAACCAAAAGAACCCCAAACAGCAGTGGAGGCTGGTGGGAGGAGCTATAGGTGGACGGCCTCATTGTAATAGCTGGAATGGAATTAATGGAACGGAGTCAAATTTGGTTTCTATATGTTTGATGTGTTTGATACCGTTCCATTTATGCCATTCCAGCCATTACAATGAACCCGTCCTCCTATAGCTCCTCCCACCAGCCTCCTCTGCCAAACAGGTATCAACAACCTAAAACAACCCCAAACAGCTACTCAAATGATCAGTTCAGGTTCACGTTTCCAACGTTTCAGGTGTTACGTCACTTTCACATGCTAGTCAGAACTGGGAAACTCCGAAATTTCAGTTTTGCTGAATGCGGCACATATAACTACAACCAGTTAGCAAGTCGGAAATGTCTGTGTTTCCTAGTTCCGACTAGCACATGAACGCGGCATTATGTCCGACTGAGCGAAGTGAGTGGGCGCGTTCACTTATGTCAAGGCGGTGACCAACGTTCGTCACCAACTTTCAAAGTGTGTTGCATTATGGGTATAAAAATTGTCAGACTACATGTCGGCTGCATGACCTTTACCACAACCATGTGATCAAAGGTCATGAACTTTCGAATGCAGGCGACTGGACTGCAACTTGAATTCGCAACCAAAGCATTGTGGGAGACGACCCTCTTCTGTTTTTTTGGAAGCAAAAGGCACTACATGTTCATAAATGGTTGATGTCGCCACCTATCATTGGTTATTATCAATGCATGTTTACTGTTTTGGGTGGATGACTATTTAGAGTTTAAATACATCTTTATCCTTACATCCTTTCAATCTAATTACATAGGCCTACATGTGATCCAAATTTCTAACATAAATAAATGAAATATCCTACTTGTGACAATATAGCTAATATATTTATCTAGATGCTACTGTAATGTTGTGTCCTGTGTTATAGCCTACAATTTGTCTAGTCTGTAATATTGTTAACATTTGTTGATCTTCTATTAAGTGTGAATAAAATTGAATACATATTGTAGGCTACACATGGCTTATTTTAGGGGATTTCTACACTGGCAATTTTAGAGGCTTAATCTGTGTCCAGGAAAACAGACCTTAATGAGCAAGTACCCAGACACCAGTCATGGGGTCAATACCAACTGCATTTGACTGCTTGGCATTTGGTTTACCCAGTAATGTATGTGAATTGATGTACATGTATAGTCTAATCCTTTTCATATTGTTTACCCATTATGTGAACTGATGTACATGTATAGTCTAATCCTGTTCTGTACAGTGAGTGTTTGTCCTTCATGTGCTTGAATCAAATTCTGTTCTTTACATGCTTACTGAGAAATGCAACATAAAGGTTGAGAATTAAAGAAATACACTTCAGGCTGTAGTGATGCTGGCCTTCATTCAATTACCATACAGTAAGAATCTTTGTGGACTCCATTTATTCACATCTGTTACAATTCCATGTTGCACAAGCACAAACAATGAGGAAGGTACAAGGCCATGAAGTAATGGCAAACAACAGAGCATATCCCATATGCTGCAAAAACACCTGTATGTTCTCATTCTAGTAGCCTATGCACTCACTACCTGGTTATATTTTGAGAAACCCATCACAAAAATGCAAAACAAGTCCTGTGAATGTTAGAAAGAGCTTGGGCTGGTATCTAACTTCCTTATCAGGATATTCATTCCTTGGACCATGTTGATCATGTTCAGCTTCGTGTAGGAGAAGTCGAATTTCGATTGCATCCACTTCATCGGCAATAACAAAGGCGAATGCCATGTCTGCCATTAGCTATGTTTCCATTAACTTTTTTTGACGACTTTTACAAAGTGCTCGCATAGAAAATAGATGCGACAATTGCCTGCTAGGGTGAGTTTCCTTTTAGGCTAACTATCTTATCGATAAAAACAGCTGGACATAATGACGTCACACCTAAATAAAATAAACAATATTTTTTTGCAAAAACCTACGGTTACTGTCGAATAACAATGTAGCGGTTGAAGTGTTTCCATTACCCCTTTAGACAAATTGCGCATTAATAAATTGCCGACAACCTCCCGCTTATCTGTGTCATGTCTCGGGTAGTCCGCGAAAGCCTGCATGTATAGAATGCAATAATTTACTAATATTTGCCATGGTCTAATAATTCTCCTGTGCCAACCCTATCGCCACGGTCCATGCCAGGGTGAAACGTGCACTCCTGTAGATCTGAAATAATTGGATGGTGAAACTTGCCAGCCAACCAGAAAAGCAAGGCGAAGCAATTTAGGTAAAAAAATGATTTTGCAAGCAGAAAGCATTTAGAATTAAATGTTGGTGGAGTGGAGCTTTATAGTTACACGGTGACATTACATTTACATTTTACATTTTAGTCATTTAGCAGACGCTCTTATCCAGAGCGACTTACAGGAGCAATTAGGGTTAAGTGCCTTGCTCAAGGGCACATTTACGTCATTTAGCAGACGCTCTTATCCAGAGCGACTCACCAATTGGTGCGTTCACCCTATAGCCAGTGGGATAATCACTGGGGGGGGGGGGGGGGGGTAGAAGGATTACTTTATCCTATCCCAGGTATTCCTTAAAGAGGTGGGGTTTCAAATGTCTCCGGAAGGTGGTGAGTGACTCCGCTGTCCTGGCGTCGTGAGGGAGCTTGTTCCACCATTGAGGTGCCAGAGCAGCGAACAGTTTTGACTGGGCTGAGCGGGAACTATGCTTCCGCAGAGGAAGGGGAGCCAGCAGGCCAGAGGTGGATGAACGCAATGCCCTCGTTTGGGTGTAGGGACTGATCAGAGCCCGAAGGTACAGAGGTGCCGTTCCCCTCACTGCTCCATAGGCAAGCACCATGGTCTTGTAGCGGATGCGAGCTTCAACTGGAAGCCAGTGGAGTGTGCGGAGGAGGGGGGTGACGTGAGAGAACTTGGGAAGGTTGAACACCAGAAGGGCTGCGGCATTCTGGATGAGTTGTAGGGGTTTAATGGCACAGGCAGGGAGGCCAGCCAACAGCGAGTTGCAGTAGTCCAGACGGGAGATGACAAGTGCCTGGATTAGGACCTGTGCCGCTTCCTGTGTAAGGCAGGGTCGTACTCTCCGAATGTTGTAGAGCATGAACCTGCAGGAGCGGGTCACCGCCTTGATGTTGGCGGAGAACGACAGGGTGTTGTCCAGGGTCACGCCTAGGCTCTTCGCACTCTGGGAGGAGGACACAGCGGAGTTGTCAACCGTGATGGCGAGATCATGGAACGGGCAGTCCTTCCCCGGGAGGAAGAGCAGCTCCGTCTTGCCAGGGTTCAGCTTGAGGTGGTGATCCATCATCCATACTGATATGTCTGCCAGACATGCAGAGATGCGATTCGCCACCTGGTTATCAGAAGGGGGAAAGGAGAAGATTAGTTGTGTATCGTCAGCGTAGCAATGATAGGAGAGGCCATGTGAGGATATGACAGAGCCAAGTGACTTGGTGTATAGGGAGAAAAGGAGAGGGCCTAGAACTGAGCCCTGGGGGACACCAGCGGTGAGAGCACGTGGTGCGGAGACAGCTTCTCGCCACGCCACTTGGTAGGAGCGACCGGTCAGGTAGGACGCAATCCAGGAGTGAGCCGCGCCGGAGATGCCCAGCTCGGAGAGGGTGGAGAGGAGGATCTGATGGTTCACAGTATCAAAGGCAGCAGACAGGTCTAGAAGGACAAGAGCAGAGGAGAGAGAGTTAGCTTTAGCAGTGCGGAGAGCCTCCGTGACACAGAGAAGAGCAGTCTCAGTTGAATGACCAGTCCTGAAACCTGACTGGTTTGGATCAAGAAGGTAATTCTGAGAGAGATAGCAAGAGAGTTGGCTAAAGACGGCACGCTCAATAGTTTTGGAAAGAAAAGAAAGAAGGGATACTGGTCTGTAGTTGTTGACATCAGTGGGATCGAGTGTTGGTTTTTTGAGAAGGGGAGCAACTCTCGCTCTCTTGAAGACGGAAGGGACATGGCCAGCGGTCAAGGATGAGTTGATCAGCGAGGTGAGGTAGGGGAGAAGGTCACCGGAGATGGTCTGGAGAAGAGAGGAGGGGATGGGGTCAAGCGGGCAGGTT